CCCCAAAACCCCAAAACCCCAAAACCCCTAAGTCCTTCTTTGTATAGAGACTATATGAATGATATAATAATTAAACTAAATTGATTTAATGACGTAGTAACAGAAATTTTCATCAAATTAAATCGAAATCTTTAAACTATTAATTGCTACTTATTAAAAGTTATCAGTATAATTCAAAGTCAAGATGATTTTATCATATCTTTTTTACGCTTTTCTTATCTACGTACTATGGGAGAAAATATTAAAACCTTATTACTACTACTGGTACTACACAAGTTAAGGTATCAGAGCCATATGTGTTCCTAAGCCTCTGATTTTCAACATGTTGATCTTGAAAAAAGTACTGAAGAATCTCCATGAGTATTCAGAATAACTTTTATACGAGTACTATTTAAGTTAATTTAAGAATGAGTAGATACCAAGCATTTTCATTGATTTCAGATCAGCTGCTGGCTAATTAGTAGTAAGTGATCCAGATATTTTACAAGAGCTCTTTGTGACAAAGGGAAAATATGTTGATAAACTTCATCGAAGCAAAAAGGTTTTTTATGATTTGACAGGTGAATCTGTTTTGTTTGATTAAACCACAGAGGCTTAAGCTACTAAAAGAAAGCATTTGTCAACTGCATTCTACAAAGATAAGATGACTTTTAATCTAAGAATCATCATTAGAAAGACCTATGGTTGGATCGAAAATCTAAAGATCGACATTAAGAAAGGAAACAATGAAAGAGAGCTTAATTCAATGATAAATCAGCATATCTTAGACTGCATTTTGATGAGTGTTTTTGGTGAGACTTCTCTCAAGCAGACTATGCCATTCCTCGTAGATGACAAGATCGTTGAAACTTCATTGGGTATTGCTACTGCTAGGCTTTTCTTGGCATTGACTAGAAAAAGTATCACTCCCTTAAGAATATTAGTGCAATTATTTGACTCTCATTACATTGGTAAATCGGAGAAGGCACTTCAAAAAAACCTATAAACCTTCAGAGAGTTTTTGCAAAGACTTATAAATGAGAAGAAGGAAAAAATGCAAGATCCCAGTTTTGAGGGTGCTGATTTTCTCACTATGCTATTGACTGATGATCTATTCAGTAAAGATGAAAGTTTGATCAAAGATGAGCTTGCTACTATCTTGATAGCATCTATTTTGACAACAACAGCCTTGATAACCAACACCCTGTATTACTATGAATTCTTACCTGAGGTCAAGTAAAAACTCAGAAAAGAAATATCAATGATTATGAGCCCAGATAGAAGTAATCCAGTACCATTTGAGAATCTTAAACTATCTCCTGAACTTTGGGTTGAGAAATTAGATTATGATCAACTCTAAGAAGACTGGAAATATCTCTACTTAGTGATTTAAGAGTCATTGAGAATTGAACCTCCAGCCAGATCATCAACGCCAATGCAGCTCAATCAAACTATGGAAATAGGTGGATATACTGTAGATAAAAACACCTCTATCGCTGTTCATTTCTATTTACTTCACAGAAATCCTTAAGAATGGCAATAGCCCTCTAAGTTTATTCCTGAAAGATTTGACCCTGAGAGTCCATACTACTTAACTCCAGATGGCAAGAAGAGAAAGCCCAACAGTTTCAGTCCTTTCCTGGGAGGCAGAAGAATATGCTTGGGTAAAACTTTCGCTGAGAATATTGCTAAGTGTGTTATCCCAATCATTATTTCAGAGTTAGATATTAAGTTTAAAAATGACTATCATTACGAGAGAAAACCACCTAAAAACTTTGCAACAGAGATAAACGTTCCTATTATTTTATCTGCTATCTAGAAAAACTGAGTAAACAATGTTTTTAAGCTGATTTGATATTAATTTTCTATTAATTTCATAAATTCTTATTTTTGCATTTTTACACAAGCAGGGGTTTTGGGGTTTTGGGGTTTTGGGGTTTGGGGG